TCCAGTCTCTTGCTCATGACTGGAAACACATCAATCATTCCTATATGATCAGAAGATTAAGTCTGATAGAATACATAGTAGATCAACCTTTCTTATGACTCTTGTTGCTAAGTAGCAGAGGCTAGAGAAGTACAATACAGACAATTAAGTGATAGCTGAACACAGTTTGCTTAGTTCAGCATTATAAAAATGTACAAGATTAAAAACAGGAGAGATGAGGTGAGATTATGTAGGGCCTAGAAAGTTAGTAGTGGAGAGGTAAATATAAAAATGTTCCTTTGTTGTTCTGAATTTATGGACCTAATTCTCATTGCAGTTACACTACTGCAACTCCATTGACTTCAGTGAAATTTCAGCAGCATAGTTGTGGAGGACAAATTAGTCTCATGAAGTTTAAGGGCAGAAGACACAACCAGATCATTTAGTCCAGTGGTTCTCAAACTTTTGTACCTTTCAAATAGCAAGCCTCTGAGTGCGCCCCCCCCCCTTATAAATTAAAAACACTTTTTAATATATTTAACACCATTATAAATGCTGGATGCAAAGCGGGGTTTGGGGTGGAGGCTGACAGCTCGCCACCCCCCATGTAATAATCTCGTGACCCCCTGAAGGGTCCCGACCCCCAGTTTGAGAACCCCTGATTTAGTCTGACCTCCTGTATATCACAGGCCACCAACACCACCCAGCACCCTCACACTGAATCCAACAACTTGATCAATAAAGTCAAGTTTTACACTTGCGATTACATTTATAATTCCACAGACTTCACTGGGAGTTGTACTTGCATACCAATTGGCAGAATTTGGCCTGAAGGATTCTGTGTTAGTATGATTTACTAGGAAGGCTCTTTTATATGGTATTAATTTTTTCATATAAAATTAGGGTTAGATGATGAAAATAAAATCCTTCAATCCTGATAAAGGGTGCTTTGGTTTGTCCAGTGCAGTGTTTCAATTCATCTTCTAAATTATTTAAGGAGAAAAAACTACAACCTTTTGAAATGACTCTCGGAGATGCATGTTATTTTTCATGTCTGCAGAGGAGTGGCATATTTAGGTGAAATACTCCTTGCTCTTTTTCCTGTATATTTACCATCAACTGACATAAAACGTTTTGTTTTAGTCTCTCATCTAGAGAAAAGTTTAAATGATTTCATTGCTCTTTTATGCTTTTGATCTCTCATATTCAGTAAGGAAATTAGTGAAGGATGTGGAAGAAAGATGTATCAGGAGCTCTCACTGGTTTCTTAAAGAGGTTATCCAAACGCTTCAAAACATACAATACTAACCTTTTGTCTTTTGGTGTTTTGAATGCCTGCCGTTACTATATACAGTGGCAGACGTGTAGATTAATATAGAGTAAGATAACATAGTAATAATAATAACTTGCTCTAAAAGTTATTTTACTGAATATATAAGGATCATTTCACCTGCCAGTGGAATGAAGTTAACTGTGCTGTGGAACTCAGCATCTATTGAATATCACAAAACAAGTTTATACAAGAATTTTGGGCAAGAAGTGAAAAAAAATCTTTCCAGTTCGTACTACAGAGATTTTTAAGCATGGAGTATGTGTAATAGGATTTAGTCGAGACTACATATAACAATTTTATTCTTGCTAAAAGTGATATGAGATCACAAATGAGTAGGATCTTTGTTTATCTCATTCAAAAGATGGTATTCCAAATCCTCAGCTAGTGTAAATGACAAAGCTCAATTAAAGTCAATGGCGCTAGACTGATTTACAACACCTGAAGATCTGGCTCAATATTTTCTGCAGCATGTAGTCCCATCAATATCCTGGGACATTGGTTCACTGCTGATTCACAAGGGAAGAATGCCTAAGACACTGTTCCCTGTGACATCTAGACGTTCCTTGGAGGTTTCCCTTCCAAATAATTGCTGACCAATCCTGAGGGTGCTTAGGTTATGATTATGATATTTGCTGGGATCCTAGCCAAATATGGAATGGCTGCAGAGTAATGTTCATTCAATATCTTTTTAGTTCAAATTTATGCTCAGAAAGTATGCTGCAGTAATCCAGAATTCAAACGTCCTCCTCTCCTTTGCAATTATAACTTATTTTTATTCTTTCTCCTCCTCGTCTGTCTCTCTCTCTCTCTCTCACACACACACACACACAAAACCCCACTAAAATAATCTTGTTTAAAGACCGTATTGGTAATATGATTAGTTGTTTTTAATTAATAAATGTGTGGAGACAAACACACACAAGTTGTGGGGAAGAGAGCTTGTCTGCAAACAAGGTAGTCAATCTATCTTAGATAAATAAGCTGCTGCTTATAGAATTTGGAGGAAAAAAGCATGTAATACTTTTTTGCTGAGAACTTTTTACTGTTGAAATATTCTTTCTAAAATTGATGTAATTCAAAAAAATAAATGCCAGACAGATGAAACAGCCTTTTTTTAGATCCTGACAGTCTACCCTGGGGTCTGATTCCCTACCACCAAGCAATGCCGCCTCAAGCACAGCTTTACTAAAATATTTCTTCTAGCAATTGCTCTATCAGGGAAATCCTAAAAGACCTCGTGTCGTTGAACAACAAGGAAAAACTATAGATTTCAGTTATTGCTTTAGAATTGAGATTTGAAAGCATTCATCAAAAGTTTTCCTGTCATTTGTTTAAACTTATAAATGTTTGGGTTTTGCTTCGTGGTAACACACAAAGGACCAAATCAAGATCACAGCCTCATTGTGCCTAGTAATGTACAGATACACATTAAGAAATAGTTCTTCACCCAAAGAATTTGTAATCTAATTTCAGACATTTATTAACAATGTCTTTGATTTCATCTAGCATACCATTAATTACATCTATTTATATTTTGAGTATAATAAATAAGATATTTTAGTTAGTGAATTTTAAAGTTCAACAATAGCCAAACAAGTAGAAAAAGATAAATGACATTCTCTTTCCAGGAATATGCAGTTCCCTTTCAAAGAACTAAAGAATTGGAGCAGATAAAATACAGTAAAAACAACACAAATGCATTTTCAATTGAATTGTTGGCAACAAATGGGCCATCTTATTTTGGAAAATTATTTCAGGATGAAATGTAGCATGTTTCACATTTTCACCGCTTGCTCTAACACAAAGGTCACTTAATTCCACGCCATAATTTTATTTGTTTAGAGTATTGCTTAGATATATCTTTGGGCTATACACATTCTTAGAAGAGATTTTAAACTTGTAATAGATACAAAGCTGCTGAAAATTTTACACATAAGAATTCCAAAGAGTTCTTTGTAAGTTTTTATATGAAATTATTAAGAGTGCAAAATGGATCTGCAATGATTGGATACTGTGGCTTCCATATAAAACTATGAATAGCATGCATGGTTTTTGGGTTCCCTTACTGGTAAAATTTTCACAGAAGCCAGTATTGATAGTTGAACTTACCAGTTTAATAAAACAAAACAAATGAAAATGAAAAAACACAAAGTGTTGGACCATCATTTCCCAGACAGGTAGGCGTAGGTTCTAGGAATTGCCTTTTTCACAGCCGCTTCTCTGTTTCACATTTAGGGCTTTTAGAATGCTTGAACATTTCCTTTCTGTCCCATCAACCACTCACAGAAAGAAAAAAAAAATCCATAACTACTTGGGGGATACTGATACTATCCTGGTAGGGGTAATTGAAGTGTTTAGATAATGAGCTTTAAACTAGTTTAGTCCCTTAGGTAAATACATTTCAATATATTTTCTTAGCTGTAAAAATATTTCATCAGGTTTTGAGATCGTTTTTGATTCCTTGTAGAAAACTCTGAACATCTGTTGGTGTTGAGGAGGAGTTTGTTCTTTTCATAGGTGATTTTTGGGATAGCAGACTGCAGAGCAAATTATATCTGTATATTGTGGAGCTGTTTATGCATTATAATTTTTTAATTCTCCTCTCCTGTTCAGTATATTGATGGCATAATCCTAGATGAATGAGATCCTGTTCTTTCCTTCTTTGCATTTTTGTTTTGGAGTGAGACATGTCCAAAATTTTGTGTCGATGATCCTAGAAGTTGTAGTCTTACAGCCTTGCTGCTCTTTGTTTGCCAGCAAATCTGTTGTTTACACTTCCTGTTTTTAATTGAATCTGTTTTGTATTTCTGTTTCAAATATAATGATTTTTTGTTGCTATCCATTTGCAAAAATTCTCATATCCAGGCCTCAAATATTTTATTGAATTTTCCTGTTTTATGTTCTCTCGGTCCCATTATTTGGATGTTTTCTCAGCTCCTATACTTTTCTAAGTCTTCCAATTATTTTGTTGGGCTTTACACTGTAGTTTTAGCTCCTGCTGGATGCCCTATCTGGCATTATCCTGTAAATCAGATACTCTTTGTTTCAGTTCCTCTGTTTCTATAGATATACTGATGGATTTACATGTTCGACACTTCAACTTTGTTTTCCAATCTTCAAGGCTAAAATGAAATTAGTAATTATTTAGTGCATTGGCTTGTGGTGAATCTTCCACTCTGAGTTTTTCCCTCCCACATAGTTTTGAGGCAGAATTGTTCAGGGTACGTCAAATTTCTGTTAGGAATATTATTGAATGGCAGTTTTCTGAAAAAACATTTCTAGATGGATTAAGACCAAACAGGTAACTTGAGGTATTTAGTCCAATAGGGCAAGACATTCCAGAAGCATGAATCTCACTCCTCCATCGGGATCGCAATGGGAATTTAAAAAAAAATCCTATGCTTTTCTTGGAAATAAAATTGTATTTTATTGGTTTCCAAAGTCTACATGTAGTTGATTTGATTTTGAACTCTTGGAATTTCTAAATTTCTTCTTCGTCACTGTAACATATTACTTGTAGGTAGAGTAGCAATGTTGCCCCTTACCAAGTGATAGAAATATTTGCCCACTTTTGAAAATAACTTTTGAGGGCCTATTTGAAATAGTCCTTTATTTTATGAATTCATTGAAGTCCATACAATGCTTTCAAGTTGTTCACTTGGTACTTTGTTGCTTTTTGTGATTTCAGGTACTTTTTTATTGTTTATATCCAGGATAGAGCAAATAATGGGGAGGAAACTGGATCTATCTGGTTTGACAGATGATGAAGCAGAGCATGTTCTTCAGGTGGTCCAACGAGATTTCAGCCTTCGCAAGAAAGAAGAAGAGAGGCTGAGGTAAGAGATTTTATTAATATATATTTTCATTTTGATTGTCCTGTGTGGGTAATGAACAAGATATATACTGAACAAACTGGAGAAACTTGGCCTTTCAGCATCCATAATAAATATTTTTCACATTATGAAGCTGGATGTATTGAGCACAGAATATTTATTTTGGTTTGTAATTATAGTCAGATTCAGTTATTTGGTTAAATACCATAATTGATTTCTTTTTAAAAAGTGTTTTGAATACATTTTTCATAGAAGTGAATAGGTGAAGTAAGCTCTTCTCTCTCTCACACACACTCACACAATGTAATATACAGTATATTGTGCCGAAAACTTTTGTCTGACCAAATATTCAGCTTCTGCTTTCAGTCACATAAAATCATTAAAAAACAAAAAGAGCCCATTACAAAGAAAAGCAAACTAAGTATGAAAGACAATTTCCCTCATGGACTAGCAGGAATGTGAGTTGGTAGATGTAATAGCTTTCCCATAGTTTCCAACTACATTTCCTTTTGTATGATCCATGTTTCCTTTTAGCTTCTCTAGAAAACATGACTTGCTTATTCTTGAGGAGAGACTGAAGTACCTATCTCTACTTGTTGCATGCGATTTCTCTTGCCCTAATGCTAGCATGACAAATGGATACCATTGTTTATCTCCCAGCATGTCACTGGAATCACAAGAGCAGGAAGTTGCTTAAGAAAGATATGAAACCCAGCTGTATGTTATATAAATTGAAAAAGAAATCCCTCTTTTTATTGTTGTGGTTTTATTTCCTGTTGCTGTTCTCTGAAATAATTACTACTCTTGCTTTCTATAGTCTCTTAGGGTATGTCTACACTACGAAATTAGGTCGAATTTATAGAAGCCAGTTTTATAGATATCGGTTTTATACAGTCGATTGTGTGTGTCCCCACATAAAATGCTCTAAGTGCATGAAGCCGGCGGACCGCGTCCACAGTACCGAGGCTAGCGTCGACTTCCGGAGCGTTGCACTGTGGGTAGCTATCCCACAGTTCCCGCAGTCTCCACCACCCATTGGAATTCTGGGTTGAGGTCCCAATGCTTGATGATGCAAAACAGTGTTGCGGGGGGTTCTGGGTACATGCCATCAGGCCCCTCCCGCTCTGTCAGAGCAATGGCAGACAATCGATTCGCGCCTTTTTACCTGGGTTACCTGTGCAGACAACATACCACAGCAAGCATGGAGCCTGCTCAGCTCACCATCACCATATGTCATCTGGGTGGCGGCAGACGTGGTACTGCATTGCTACACAGCAGCAGCCCCTTGCCTTTTGGCAGTAGATGGTGTATTACGACTGGTATCCGTCATCGTCGTACTCCAGTTCAATCATAGGCACCTGGGCAAAGACGCTTTGTCTCCTGGAGACTCAGTCCTGCTGGCAGTCCTATTGAACCGTCTTGACAGTGATGGCTAGCAGTCGTAGTACAGTATCTTCTGCCAAGCACCCAGAAGATGCCGATGGCTATCAGTCATGCTGCACCGTCAGCTGCCAGCTTAAGATATAAAAAATAGATGGACCAGATTTGTTCTGTATTCATTTGCTTCCCCCTCCCTCCGTGAAATCAACGGCCTGCTAAACCCAGGGTTTTCAGTTCAATTTTTGGGGGGCCCATTCTGTGTGACAGTGGTTTGTGTTTCTCCCTGATGCACACCCACCTTTGTTGATTTTAATACCCTGTACCTGTATGCCATGTCGTCAGTTGCCCCTCCCTCCCTCTGTCAGTTTCGCGGCTTTTTTCAGGCCAGACGCCATAGCACTGGCATCATGGAGCCCACTCAGAACACCGTGGGAATTATGAGCACTATGAACACCACGCACATTGTCCTGAAGTATATGTAGAGCCAGGACATGCCAAAGCAAAACCAGGACCAGCCAAGGAGGCGATTGCAGCGCGGCGACGAGAGTGATGAGGAAATTGACATGGACATAGCCCTCACACAAGGTACGGGCCCCAGCAATGTGCAAATCATGGTGTTACTGGGGCAGGTTCATGGCGTGGAACGCCGATTCTGGGCCCGGGAAACGAGCACAGACTGGTGGGACCGCATCGTGCTGCAGGTGTGGGACGATTCCCAGTGGCTGCGAAACTTTCGCATGCGTAAGGGAACTTTCAAGGAACTTTGTGACTTCCTTTCCCCTGCCCTGAAGCGCCAGAATACCAGGATGAGGGCAGCCCTCACAGTTGAGAAGCGAGTGGCGATAGCCCTGTGGAAGCTTGCAACGCCAGACAGTTACCGGTCAGTCGGGAATCAATTTGGAGTGGGCAAATCTACTGTGGGGGCTGCTGTGATCCAAGCTGCCAGGGCAATCAAAGACCTGGTGATATCAAGGGTAGTGACTTTGGGAAACGTGCAGGTCATAGTGGATGGCTTTGCTGCAATGGGATTCCCAAACTGTGGTGGGGCGATAGACGGAACCCATATCCCTATCTTGGCACCGGAGCACCAAGCCACCGAGTACATAAACCGCAAGGGGTACTTTTCAATGCTGCTGCAAGCCCTGGTGGATCACAAGGGACGTTTCACCAACATCAACGTGGGATGGCCGGGAAAGGTACATGATGCTCGCGTCTTCAGGCCCTCTGGTCTGTTTCGAAAGCTGGAGGAAGGGACTTCCTTCCCGGACCAGAAAATAACCGTTGGGGATGTTGAAATGCCTATCGTGATCCTTGGGGACCCAGCCTACCCCTTAATGCCATGGCTAATGAAGCCGTACACAGGCAGCCTGGACAGTAGTCAGGACCTGTTCAGCTATAGGCTGAGCAAGTGCCGAATGGTGGTGGAATGTGCATTTGGACGTTTAAAAGCGTGCTGGCGCAGCTTACTGACTCGGATAGACCTCAGCGAAACCAATATCCCCATTGTTATTGCTGCTTGCTGTGCGCTCCACAATATCTGTGAGAGTAAGGGGGGGGACATTTATGGCGGGGTGGGAGGTTGAGGCACGTCGCCTGGCCGCTGATTACGCGCAGCCAGACACCAGGGCGGTTAAAAGAGTACAGCAGGGTGTGGTGCGCATCAGAGAAGCTTTGAAAACCAGTTTTGTGACAGGCCAAGCTACGGTGTGAAACTTCTGTTTGTTTCTCCTTGATGAACCCTCCGCCCCCACCTCCCCCGGTTCACTCTACTTCCCTGTAAACCAACCACCCCATCCTTCCCTCCCCCCTTCGATCACCGCTTGCAGAGGCAATAAAGTCATCGTTACTTCACATTCATGCATTCTTTATTAATTCATCACACAACTAGGGGGATAATTGCCAAGATAGCTTGGGATGGTTGGGGGAGGAGGGAAGGAAAAGGACACACTGCAGTTTAAAACTTTAAAACTTTAACACTTATTGAAGGCCAGCTTTCCGATGCTCGGGCAATCATCTGGGGTGGAGTGACTGGGTGGCCGGAGGCCCCCCCACCGTGTTCTTGGGTGTCTGGGTGAGGAGGCAATGGGACTTGGGGAGGAGGACTGTTGGTTACACAGGGGCTGTAGCGGCGGTCTCTGCTCCTGCTGCCTTTCCTGCAGCTCAACCATACGCTGGAGCATATCAGTTTGTTGCTCCAGCAGCTGGAGCATCGACTCTTGCCTTCTGTCTGCAAGCTGACACCACCTATCATCTTCAGCCCCCCACTTGCTCTGTTCAGCCCGCGATTCAGCCCGCCACCTCTCCTCTCGTTCAAATTGTGCTTTTTTGCACTCTGACATTGACTGCCTCCATGCAGTCTGCTGTGCTCTTTCAGCATCGGAGGACATCTGGAGCTCCGTGAACATATCATCCCGAGTCTGCCGTTTTCTCCTTCTAATCTTTGCTAGCCTCTGCGAAGGAGAAACATTTGCAGCTGGTGGAGGAGAAGGGAGAGGTGGTTAAAAAAAGATACATTTTAGAGAACAATGGGTACACTCTTTCACATTAAATTTTGCTGTTCACATTACACAGCACATGTGCTTTCGTTACAAGGTCACATTTTTCCTCTTATATTGAGGGCCTGCCGGTTTGGTGTGAGAGATCACTCACGCGGTGCCAGGCAACAGAATTCGGCTTGCAGGCAGCCATGGTAAGCCACAGTCTTTTGGCTTTTTTAACCTTCATAACATGTGAGAATGGTTTCAAACAGTAGCGCCCTCATTTCCCATACCAAGGACCCGTTGGGTTGGCCATTTAAAATGGATTTTCAATGTAAAAGGAGGGGCTGGGGTTTCCGGGGTAAA